AAAAAAAAAAAAAAAAAAAAAAAAAAAAAAAAAAAAAAACCTAGCTCCGGTCAGGCAGGCTGGCTGGAAGGATGATTGATGACTCGACTTCTTTATCCTCAACTTACCCCAAAAATGTGTTCGCCCCGGCTTTGCGGTGGAGACGTACCATGTGCATCAACCAACCATTCGGTGTAGATCCAATGCTACTGGCGACGATCGAGTCATCTTCCCCTCTCGAGCTGTGCAGCTCTGCAGCGGTGCATCTGGCGCCTCGGCTATCCCTGCGGCGGACTCCGATGCCGCTCTCGCGGCCACTATAGTTTTCTTCTGATTGGATGGGGAGTGATACGAGCTGGTATCGGTCGGCGAAATCGGGCCCATCATGTAGTATCTCTTTCAAACCCATTGCCATAACTTGTTGTTGTCTTTGATTTTGGATAGTTAGTGTCATTCACTAAGGTTGCAGCAGTCGATGGTGGGTGCATGGACTCTACCATGGTCAGCTGACGCTTGTTGCCCCGGTGCGGTATCGGACCGTGCACTATGAGGGTTTATGCAGTGACATCTCCAAGTATCACCTAGCGAATCTGCCTATCCGAGTCCACGAAAATGATCGGCGATATGAGCAGACCGGCAACCGTCGAGGCTCTGGAGTATGCCCCTCGCAACGAACAACCATGGATTTAAACATTCAATGACTCTTCAAGTGGGAACAGTGGCGACCGCGGTGAGTCCTTTGAGCCTATATTATGGGGAAGCGGGGAACGGATCTGCCCTGAAGACCCAATCGCCGGCCAGATCCCGTCCGTCCCAAGATAGAACTTGATTTTTAATCGCACACCCTGTCGCAGCCATCGCTAGGTCGCAATTGTACAACCTCCCTTCCGTTCATTAGGTAAATGTGTACTAGTCAATATGTTCGTAGCACACGTATGTAACACTGCACCACGTCTAACGACACCCCTATGATCGACCTGGATCATAGACTGCCAACGTAAGCTGATCGGACGGCCCTTCTAACTGGTGAATTCGCATTGCGTATGTTATGCAAGGCCGGAAGAAGCTTCAGGGTTGATGCCGGACCCCAGGTCACGTGACATCATCGATGGTCATCACTACGGAGTAGATACTCTCCACCCAGTAGAAGTACACCGCGTGTCTCATAACAAACAGTATTTCATGGCGGACGATCTAAGCTAAGTACAAGAACGAACATTTGCAGTCCACTGGGCCAAGACATCCCAGCATCCCCTCGATCCAGAAGTGTCCGCTGCCTGAATACTATAAATGTGTACACCCTTGGCGATCCTCATTGCATCATTTCCCAATCCATGTCACTCACCCCTGGGTCTGACCCCGACGGCACGAGAATGATATCTATCCCAAGATTCTCTCTGTGACCCTCTTACCATTTCGAGCTATCCCCTCGTCTTTTACTAGTAGTTCTGGTAAGTTCCATAGTTGCCGTAGTTGCCGTAGTTTCCGTAGTTCCCGTACCCGGCCGGGGCGGTGGCGGTGGAGGAGGCGCTCGAGGTGGTGCTCTCCTCCTCCTCCGCATGGGCAGCGGGTTCCTCGTCGCGCTTGTACGAGCCATAGTTGGCGTAGGTGCCATAGTTGCCGTATTCCCCGTAGCTGACCGGAGCGGTCGTGGTGCTGGTGCTAGGGGCCGAGCTGGTCGACGAGCTGGTGGGCTGCTCATCCTCTCTCTTGTAGTTCTGGTAGTTACCATAGCTGCCGTAGTTGCCATACTCCCCGTAGCTGACTGGGGTGCCCGTGGCGGAGGGGACCTCAGTGGCGGTGGTGGAGGCGGCCTCCTCCTCCTCCTCCTCGGCGGGCTTGTCGTCGCGCTTGTAGTTCTGATAGCTGCCGTAGCTGCCGTAATCCCCATAGTTACCGTAGCTGCCATAGTTGGCGGCGGGGGCAGTAGTGGTCGAGGCAGCAGCTGTAGTGGTCTCCGAGCTGGAGGCCTCGGCTCCCCGCTTGTAATTCTCATAGTTGCCGTAGGTGCCATAGTTGCCATAGTCGCCGTAGCTGGCCGGGGTAGCCGTGGTCGTGGTGGGGGCCTCCTCTACCGGCTTGTCCTCACGCTTGTAGTTCTGGTAGCTGCCATAGCTGCCATAATCCCCATAGTTGCCGTAGTTGCCGTAGCCTGCGGGGGCAGTGGTGGTGGAGGCGGCCGAGGAGGTCGAAGAGGATGCCTCCTCCTCAGCACGTTTGTAGTTCTGGTAATTACCATATGTACCGTAATTGCCGTAATCGCCGTAGTTGCCATAGCCTGCGGGGGCAGTTGTAGTGGCAGCAGCAGTGGTAGTGGTGGAGGTGGCAACCTCGCCCACAGGTGCGGCACTGACGGCCAGCAGGTTGCTGCTCAGCACGAGCAGGAGGCTCTTGGAGAGAGTGTGCATGATGTGTGAAACGTATGATGACTTTTGAGGAGAGGAGAGGAGAGCACAAGAAATTCAGGACAACTGCAGATGGGTGGTTGGGATACTGCACGACAAGGTCGGACTGCAGGCTGTATTTATAACTTCTGTCTCGGCGAGATTTCTTTCATGTTCTGACGATCCATAATTAGCGACAGAGACAGAGGCAGGTGCAAGTACAACATTAGCAACAACAGCAGCAGCAGCAGCAGCAGCAGCAGCAGCAATGCTCGGCTATAGTCAGTGAGTACCTCTAGTATACAGACCGCAACAGGATGATTGGCCACGTCTCGGATTGTACCATCGCCGGGACGTGCGAAGAGAGGCCAAGAGTTAATGGTGCCAATCATAAGCTGCAGAACGAATGGGATCCATCGGGAATTCAGGTTACAGTTTTTGCCTCACGTCTTGTTCCCGTGGAGCACCATATCGAATTGACTCAGATGATGCTGCAAGGTGAGATGAGCCTCTCTGCCGGTGGAGGGGCAAAGCCTCGGAGGGGGGACGGAAATGGACCGAGGCGGGGGAGATTGAATGATGAAAGGCGTAGAAGCCGGATGAGAGTAAGGCATCTTTGCGTCATGTCTCAGATGAGCGTCGGCTTCAAGAATGCGGAGCTGTAAGGCGGGCAACAAGTTCCCATAAGTTCCCATAAGTTCCCACAAGTTCCCACAAGAATATGAGACAGACATGCGGCTAAGCGGCGGGTGTCTCACTCACCACCAAATGAGCGCCCTTCCCGTCGATGCACTGGCCATGTCTTACTGGCTTGAAGTCACAGTCACATCTGACTGAGATATTATTAGACACTTTTTTCATGCAGGCGGAGAGTCACGGAGATTCTGACGAAGAACAAGAAGAAAGATATCCACCTCAGGCCACCCCTTCGGCCTGTTGTCCAAGCCCCCCATGAATAAACATCTCGTCTGATCACTCTTTTTCAGATCTCCCCTCCATCTTTCTGAAGATTTCCCTTTCTATTCTTTCATGTGTGACATTGTTCTTTAGTTTTGTCTTCAATCCATCATGAATTTTCCTAGAGATACCCCTTCTTTTGAGGACAAAATGCACTCCTCCGAACGGTCCACTTCTACAGACCGGGAGAGGCTCCTGGTAGATGAGGAAGCCACCCACTGGTCGCAGAACAACAGTTCCTCAAAGGCGTTTCTCGGAGGACGGTGGCGGGTCTTGTTTATCGTTGCAATTGCAATTCTGTCGTGTTTGATCGGGGTCTTCCTCGGCCACAACCAACGGGACTTGGACAAGTCGTGCACGCGACGGACCACCCAATACTGTAGGTCTTTCCCGCCTCTCTTTGAAGATATACAGTGCCGGATGGCAGTTGGGGTTGAATCACAATAGCAAGCTGACGCGCTCACAGCACCTGTCATCGGACAAGTGGGACTCAAGTACCACCAACAACCCTTCAACGGCTCGCTCTTGAAGCAGAACATCTTCCGTCAAGATGCGAGCCCTGAAGTAGACGCTGCCTGGGAGTCCCTCGGTGCCAATTGTGAGTGCTGAGACAGTTCTCTCTGTGTTGACCCGATCACTCACCTGTAATCCAGTCCGAGCTGTCAGGGTCCCCGTCGAGGATGCCCAGAAATCCGGCTTGGCCGCGCATCAGGTCAAGATCCGGGAGAAGTACGGTGGCGGTTATCCGGCGAATGTGGAGGGATTTCACCATCTGCACTGCTTGGTATGTCGATGCGGTTGAGTTGCTGTCTGGAATAAGGGTTCAGCTAACCCGGCCGTCAGAACCTCCTCCGCCAATCTCTGTACTACAACTACGACTACTACCACAACCTGGGCACGGGTGCCTTCACCAACGACGATTACATTGTCCGCCACCACGTCTGTAAGTATTCGCTTTGTCCATGCCGGATAACCGCTCGCTGACCGCCGCAGCGCACTGCCTTGACGTTCTTCGCCAGCAGCTCATGTGCAGCCTCGACGTCGGGGTCCTCGGCCAAGTCTGGGTGCACCCGGAGCACCCGGAGCCTTTTGTGGATTTCAACACGCAACACAAGTGCCGCAACTTCGACGAGATCCGGGAATGGGCGGCGAAGAATCAGCTGCCGGAGACGGTGCCATCGGATTTCCTGGAGCCGCCCAAGTTGACCGATCGGGTGTATGCGGAGATTCCGTGAGGCCATGTTGTAGATTGTGTATATAATATAAATGTAGCATGATAAACAGCGACATTGTTATTTCAATAGTTGTGGTTTGCAAGAAGGGAGAGAGTATGACGAGGGTCATTCGAGCCCTCAGTTAGGGCTTATTGGTGAAGAGTAGTACAGATCAGACATCAGGTCCATCATCTCATCTGGAACGACCTCCCTTCCGAACCTTTAATATCTATCCATCAATTGCAGTGGAAATACGGTAAGACTTCCCCGTGCCGATACCACACCCCGGATAATCCCTTCCCCGACCCTCCCGCGGATCTCATCAATTTTCCTTTCGCACACACACATTACCCAACATTCCACCCTACCCTACTTACCCTTACAGTAAGACGCGCCACTTCACCCATAACCCCCCCTCCATCTAACCCTAATCTCAACACCACATTCCACACCCCCTCCAAATACATCCGCATACATCCCCCAAGATGAACCTCTCTCAACTCTCCGCCCAACTAACCCCCCACCCCCAACCCTTCCCCAACTGCTGTCTAGCCCTTTCCAGCACCCTGACCACCTACCTCGCCACAAACCTCCTGCCCGCCCACCCGCACTTCACCGTCTCCATCGGCAGCGGGTCCGGGTTACTCGAGGCCCTGATCTCATACCGCCACCCGGACATCACCGTCGAAGGCGTCGAGGTCCGCGCCGATGTGAACCGGTATATTGACGAGCTGGATATGAATCTCGTGCCGGGGACGTGGGGGCTTTGTGAGAGGGCGGCGGCGGCCAGGGCGTGGATGTTTGTGTATCCGCGGGAGCCCGGGTTGGTGAGGCGGTATTTGGAGGTTCTGGGGGGTGGTTCGCGTTTTTCTGCTGGGGCTGGGGCTGGGGCTGGGGCTGGTGGGAATGAGAGTGGAAATGGGCTGGTGCAGATGGTGGTTTGGTTGGGGCCTCAGGCAGATTGGATGGATTATGCCCCGTGTTTTGATGAACACGGGGGTTGGGAGTTGGAGGTGAAGACGGGGGAGGAGGTTGGGGTGGCGGCGTATGAGATGTTGGTTGTGATGAGGAGGCGGGAGGTAGTGTTTGAGTGAGTGAGTGAGTGAGGAGGGATGGAGTGAGTGGTTTCGCGGTTTGGAGGTTGTGTTATGGGGAGTTGAACATGCGGCGCTGGAAGGGGATGGTGATGTCGACTGTATGCGCATTGTGGTCGTGCACGCTGCACGCTGTGTTTCAGGATATTTGATATTTATTGGCAGTGCTTTGCAGCGCTCTTTCCGCTGGGCTGCTGGGTGTGTATATCACATGGGTATTGCATGACCGGTGATGATCTCCTCCCTGAGCAACAACTACGGGCATCTATGCCTGGTTAACTGGTTCAGGGCTGGTTTGTTGAAACGCTGGTCGGAGTCAATGGCAGCGATCACAGCTCGGCTTCACTGGACAGGATCCTCGGCAAGGCAAGCTACATTGGACGCCTCATGCGACAACTACCCGCGGACTTAGCCCAGAGATCGAATTATGAATCCGGTCGCTTGCCAGTCACAAGTCGCAAATCGCTTTAAGGCTAGGCACGCTTCACCAACTATCTGACTCACCACAAGACTGCAAGATCCTGTCGGTCTCGTCGACATCAAAAAGATATGAACCCAAGACACGGCTGATCCTCGATGATTGAGAATCATTCATAAAGCCCAAGATATGAGCGGTAGGGCTAAGGGGAAACCCCTGACTCACTGCCGTGCATGTCCGATCTACTCTTTAGACCTTGTACCACGCATGCCAATCTCTTGATAACTGGCACACATTCAGTTGTGTGGCATGTTATTGACAGGCTGTGATTAAAGCGAACTCGGAAGCGCGGAGCACTGCCATGACTATTCACAAGACGCTACTCGCGGCAACTGAAGATCAAAAGGTGAGTCTTCGGTCTGAAAACAGATGTACAATGCGGGTCAAGGCTGACCTCCTATAGGATCAATGGTATCTGGTGGATTTAATGCGACAGCGCCATCGTAGCGGAACATGGCTGATGGCTACATACCAGAGCATCCTGCTTCAGGTGATATTCGCTTAACTCACAGCTAACAGGAGACGACCTTCAACTTGAACCTTCGATGTGAACTCTACGAGTCCGTCTAAGAGGACGAGCTAGACCCCCGACCCAGCTGGACGTCTCTGCTCGCGCCGCCAACAGCGCTGCAAAACAACCAGCATCAACAGCATACACACATCCAACGCAATGGTCCAGTTGTACCCGATCAGATATCGCGGCGCATCCACCGTCTTCCACACCCTGTTTCCCCGAAATTAGCTTCACCCGACTGGTCCTCACGAGATCTACTTACAGCAACGGCGTCCACGCCCCAAAGGTATTCCCCACCGTGTTCATCGCACTGATCACCAGCGCGCGCTCCTCGGAACTCCTCGCGCAGATCTCATTCGCCCACGCATAGATGATCGCCGCAATCCCGTCCGCTGTGCCGGACAAGAAGAAGGCGAAGAACTTCAGTCCGACCGGCACCCGCCAGATCGCCAGCACAGTACAGGCAAAGATGTTGAGCCCGGCCGTCGTGGCGATGAGCGCGACTTTGACGTCGTAGATATCCGAGAGCACGCCACAGACAATGGAGGAGAGGATGGTCACCGCGGGCGAGACCGTGGTGATGGTATTGATGTTGGCGACGGAGTAGCCCTCGGCTTTCAGCCAGAGGGAGAGGCCGCTGTTCGACGAGACCCCGTCGGCCTGCGAGAAGAAAAAGGCAAAACCGACGAGAACCCAGAGCCGCCAGCCCTTCAGGATGGACCGGATCTTGGCGAGCGTGAAGGGTTCGCGCGGTTGGCGGTTCTCGGCGGCCATGCGGGCTCGGGCCAGCTGGATCTCATCCGGCGTGAGGAAGCGCGAGGTGCAGGTCTCGGGCGTGCTGGGGAGGAGGCAGAGCCCGAGGAAGGCGATGGGGATGGTGCAAGCGAAGCCTGGGCTCGACCGTTAGCCTTGACTTGCCGAAACCCCTTGCTGTGTGAACGAAACGAGATTGCGAGATCGCACAGAAAGGTGCTTACAGATGATGTATAGCCACCGCCACCCCTCAATGCCATACCGCCCGTTGAGTTGCGCGTACGCTCCAGCCTGGATGTAGCCGGCGCTCATACTGCCCACCTGGCTGGCGATGAAGAAGAGGGCCCCCCGTCGCGCCAGCTCGGCGCCCTTGTACCAGCTGCCCAGGTACCACTGCACGGCGGGGAAGAAGAAGCCGCCCAGTGCCCCGACGAAGAACCGGAGGGCGTAGAGCTGGGTGACATTGGCTGCTTTGTACTGGGCCAGCGTGAGCACCCCCCAGAGCAGATCGGCGGCGGGTAGGAAGTAATTCACGGGCACCCGCGTCATCTATTATCCTCCCCTGGTGTCAACCTCACTCTAACGAGTGACATTCGTGCGGCGCGCAAGCCACGGGGAAACGTACAACTAAGGTCAGGGGAATCTGCATGGTGATGAAACCAACCCTAGACCTCTCAGCACCATGGCCCGTGACCTGCTACTCGGTAGCTGCACCTACATATACACCGTATTCAGGTAGTTCAGCTGGTTGCCGTACATCTTCAGGTCCTCCTTCATGCCACTCACATAGGCGGTGCTCGTGGCGGACGAATCGAGCACTTTCGCCCAATAGGCCAGGAAGACGAATACGATGATGAGACCGTCCAGTTTGAGGATCAGTCGGCGCTCGGCCGGGGAATCGGTGGGCGCGAACCACTGGTACCATTTTTGCCGCGGGGCGAGTTCGTGTGCGGGCTGGTCAAACTGCGAGTCTTTAGAATCTGGGGATGCTTCGTGGAGTCTGGTCTCCACAGCCTGTGGACGCTTTTGTTCGGGCGAGGGAGCCATGTTGGGGTCAGGTCCCAGTGATGGGTTCCTGTGAATAAGGGTCGTGTATAAAACAGTGCCATGGTGCGGAATCGTCTAGTTATCTGTGCTATGCTCGAGCACGCCACTCTTAGCGTGGATGACGAGGATCTCGAGTACTCCCTTTAAACGCTGATGGGGTTTGTCTGCCTCGTGGGCTGGAAGGCTTGGCGACGCTATTCCAGCCGCCTTGAGGTCTGTTTATTCGGCCTGTTGCCGAGCTCACCTGCTCGGCTATTTCCAGGAATTCTGGCTTCAGGACGGTGTTTGATACATACCATGCCAAAGAGGTTGCATCCTATTGGTCTGGAAGACTACTCCTCAGATGAAGGACAACAGCTTGTCATGATGCCTTTGCCATTCTCGGGCTCAGATCAAGTTAGGGCAGTATCACAGATGTACCAGTAGTTGAATAATGCCAACCGAAAGGGAATTAATTCAAAAAGACAATAGACTACTACTTCTTCACAGTATGATCCTCCGCCGCCGGCACCGTCACCAACCCCCTCCGCTCCTTTGTCCGCCACTGCATCGCCTTCAAGATCCCATACAAGACCGTCAACGTCGGCATCGACACCCCATTCGCTCTCCCCTCGCGCACCGCCTCCCCCACCAGGTTCTCAAACTCCGTGAACCGCCCACTGCGGACATCCACCTGCATACTGGGCGGGTTGTACATCGTCACCGGGTCCAGCGTAATCATCTTCTCCAGCGTCTCATCCGGCAGCTCGACCCCCGCGCACGCGCTGGCGGCGGCCTGGATCTCGCGCATCGCCGGCCGCACCAGCTCTGCCACCGCCCCCTCGGCCAGCTGGATGCGGCCCGTGTCCAGGTCGGTGATGGCGCAGATCGGATTCAGACACGCGTTGTACAGCAGCTTCCGCCAGCGGCTGAAGGCGACGTCCGGCTGGAACTGCGGCTGGCAGTTGCCGCCCGCCCCGTAGATGCGCACGAATTCTTGGGCGGCGGCGTCCTCCACCTCCGCAGCGAGGGCGGGGTTGCGGAAGGCGCCGATGTAGAGCTCGTCGTCGTCTTCGTGGATGATGCGTCCCGGGGCGACCTGGTGGGAGCCGCAGAAGCTGACCCCCGAGAGGAGGATGTTGGTCGGGAAGGCGGCGCGGAGGGGTTTGTGGATGTTGAGCCCGTTCTGGAGGAGGAGGATGCGCGTGTGGCCGGGGGTCACGGCGGGGTGGATCAGCTCGGCGACGCTGGGGGGGATGTCGGCGTAGTTCTTGGTGGTGACGACGATGTAGTCGTAGGGTGGGAGGGATTCGGTGGTGATGTTGGGGATGGTGTTGCGGACTGGGTGATATTAGTGCCGGGCAGGGGTAAGTTGTGAGGATTAGAGGGCAGGAGGACGTACGGATGGACGGTTTGAAGCCTTCTACTTCGCCGTGATCAATGGATTTGATGGAGAAGCCGTGTGCTTTGACATGCTCGTAGTTGGAGCGTAGGACGGCGGTGACGGTGGCTTGTCCACCGCGTTGGAGGTTCAGGGCGGCGATGGTGCCGATGCCGCCGCAGCCGATCAGTAAAACGTTTACTTTGTTCTGCATGATGATTTGTGTAGTCTATCGCTAGTGATGTGTTGTCCTCTTCGAATATATAGGTTCAGTTGCAGGGGATATCAGAGGGGCTTATCAGATTAGGGCTACCCCGCATCTCCATCAAAAAAGGCAAGTTATCCCGCGGTGACTTGCCTGTGTTATCAGCCACTGATCCCCCCCCCTTCTTCTCGAGTTTACCTCCCCCCTTTGAATAAATATATGCCATTATTAATGGTCAATCGGCCATATCAATGGTTGTCGACCAGACCCCCGCTGCTCCCTCACCCCGCAGCGTCAAGCCCGCTGGTTCCGCCCGGTCACGGTCGCTCGATGGGTGCGAGACCTGCCGACGCCGACACGCCAAATGCGACGAGACTCGACCGTCCTGTCGCATGTGCGAGCGAGCGGGTCTCGTCTGCGAGCAGTATGGCATACGGCTTGTGTTTGACTCCGGGGAGAGTCACGGCTCGCGATGTCGACGGCCACTGTTCACCGAAGACTGCCGCCAGCAGATGAGCGAGCAGCTGGTGGCCAGTCTCAATCCGGACAATGTCAACACCGTGCTGTCGCGATTAGACGGGGATTGTGAGTCCAGAGAACAGGCCAGTGATCATCGGAGCTTTAGCGCCTGCTTGGGGCCCTTTGGCGCGTTCCGGATCATCCACCCAGAGCCCGAGCCCGGTCTCGTATCGACCGACAATCTCGCAGTGAACTCAGCGCCACCAATACTTGACGAGAACCCCGAAAGTGGACTGGATCTGGCGCTGGAGGATGCCTTTGCCAGTGATCCTCTGCTTGACTGTCTTTTCGGCAATCTCGACGTCGAGGGCTTGGGTGATTTCTCGACGCAGAACTTCTTCTATGCCGCCATGCCAGTGGCCGAAGGCGAGGGATTCTCCTCCCCCTCGCCGTCTCTCGCCAGCAGCTTGCTGCTAGGGCCGTCGACCTCCTCCTCCTTACAACTATCATCCCCTTTTCTGTCCGCGCCCAGCCTGCAGTCCGCGCCAGCCGTCACGAATCGCGCACCACCGGACGCCCCCTTCCTGTTGTCGGTGTACAAGCACGAGGTGGTACCCTTATTCTCGCCCATCCAGTCACGCAAAAACCCCTGGGAGACGCTGTTCGTGTCGAGCGCGATGGAGACCCTCGCGCGACTGACCATGGGGGAGACGGTGGCGGCGACGCAGATGGCCATCTTCAGCGCCATTCTCGCCACGGGGGCCTTCGCCCAGCGCGGAGCCTCCGCCACGCGCAGCTCCGCCAACCACTGGGGCGGCCAGGCCGAAGCCCTCGCAACCGAGGCGCAGAGCCACCTCCAGCGGGCGCTGAAGGACGCCTCGTCGAGGGTCAAAAAAGTGAAATACAAGGACATCCTCATCGCCCTGCTATGCATCCACACCGTCTCCGTACGCACCGGCTCGTCTACTCTATCAACCAACTAACTAACATGTCTCAGGCCTGCCAAGGCAGCGCAGAACGGGTCCGCCGCTGCCTCCTCGACTGCGAGAACTGGGTCCGCTGGCGCGGCCTCCCCAAGCCCCGCAAGTCCCGCAAAGTCCGTCTCCTGCACCACTGCTACGTCTACCTGCGCATCTTCCACGAAAGCACCTCGGTGCTGCCCGCGGGGCCCCCGGACCGGGAGTGCGACCCCGCCTCCCCCGCGGCCGTCGGGGGGTCCCTGGCCGCCAGCCGAGCGTTCCGCCTCCGCCAGTGGGAGGGGCGACTCGATCAGCGCATGGAGGAGCTCAAGGAGCCGCACCAGGGCGAGAACGACCTGCATCTGGAGATTCCCGGCCGGTGGGAGTCGACGATGTACCCGCAGGTCTTTGGGCTGCCGGAGCCGCCCTTGTTTCTGCTCTCGCAGGTGACTCGGTTGGCGAACGAGCGGGATCTCGCGGCTGCCGGGAGCGGCAGTCCCTTGGATTTCCAGCAGTTTCACCTGCGAGCGAGGAGTCTGGAGCGGTGTATTGCGGCGTGGCGTCCGCCGCCTCCGCTGGGGGTGTCTGGGGACGACGCGGGCGCGGATGAGGACGAGCGGGAGAATGCCCGCCGCAGCGTCCAGCTCAGCACGCTCCTGCATCCGGCCCTGCTGCTCTTCTTCTATCGGCGCGTCTATGATATCGACCCGACCATCCTCCAGGCGCAGGCGCGGCAGGTCCGCGACGCGCTGGCCGACGCCGCCGAGGTGACCGCTCCGGTCGTGTGGGCGGCGTTTCTCGCGGCGTGCGAGGCCCTGGATCCCGCGCTGCAGAGCTGGTTTGCGCGCTGGTTCGAGGCGGCGGCGCAGCGGTGCGGTGTTGGGGGGGTGGCGCATGCCCTCACAGTGGTCCGGTTGGTGTGGGAGCGCCAGCGCCAGAGGACCGGCAATGCCAGCTGGCCGCAGGTGTTGCGCGAGGAGGGGATTAGTTTATACTACATCTAGATGGCCGGTTGGAATTATTCTTCTGCCTGGGTGCCACAGCAGTTTGTTTCATTCATGCATCTCTCGAGAGTGTTCTAGTTACTGCACAAACTCCCTCCCGGACAACCATGTTTCGACCATTTGTGTTGGTGGATATGCATCCGGGTGGTGCATCTCTCTCGCCCCAAAATCATCCTGCTGATCTTCCCTAGCCTGCTACAACTTGGCCAACACCCCCCTCTCCAAGACCGCCAAATGCTCCGGCGTGATATCGGCAATCGTCTGACATCTATACACCCCATTAGCCCACCCACCCTCGCCCTCTCAATCACCCACAGAAACACTCACCCCGCAAGCATCATCGTGCGACAAAACTCATCGTAGATAATGCGAATCGCCAAATCCACCCCCTGCTGCCCATTGTACTGTGCCAGATGCCATTAGCCAGCCACACCCAACCTACCCCAAAGACAACACACAAAACATACCGCCAACCCCCAAATGGGAATCCTCCCCACAAAACAGCAACACGCCCCGAGCGCCAACGCCTTAAACACATCCGACCCGCGACGAATCCCTCCATCCACCGCGAGCGGGATGCGGCCGCGCGCGACGGGGGCACACACGCGCAGCGCATCCAGTGTGGCCGGCACCCCGTCCAGCTGCCGGCCGCCGTGATTGGAGATGAGGATCCCGTCGACCCCGTGCTGGATGGCCAGCTCGATGTCAGCCGGCGCGTAGACGCCCTTGAGCCACAGCTCAAGTTTGGTGTGTTGGCGCAGCCAGGCGATGGTGTCGGTCCAGTCGATGCTTGCGTCTGTTTGTGCGATCAGCCATGCGCTTTGCAGAAGGGCTTGTGGCATTAATCATCCAAGTCGGCGATTACCGTAACCCCGTTCATACGTATCCTCCAACCCCATCTCCGCCGCCCCGGCCAGCACGGGGAATTTCAGGTGCGGCGGGAAGTTGAAGTTGTTGCGCGATTCGTTCAGTCGGTTGCCCAGGATGGGGAGGTCGACGCTCACGAAGAGAGCTTTGTAGCCTGCTTCTATACCCCATAGGATGTGCGATTAGCAACTGTTCATCGGACTGAAACTGGTTGACTCTACGTTCACCCCACCCCCGGGAAGAGAAACACACCCTCCGCAGCCCGAATCACCCGCTCCGTAATGCTGCGATCCTGGAAAAACGAGACCTGCATGATATACGGATTCCCTTTCCCTGCACTGGCCCCAATCACCGCCTCGATGCTGGAGGTCGACCACGAGGACAGCGCCATGGGGATATTGTGCGCCGCGGCGGCGCGCGAGGTGCCGACCTCCCCGTCGATGTGGGCCAGTTTGTGTGCTGCGGCCGGCGAGAAGCCGAACGGGAAGGCGATTTTCTGGCCGAAGAGCGTGGTGCTGGTGTCCAGGTGGGAGACGTCGCGGAGGATGCGCGGGATGAGCTTGTAGCGGGTGTAGGCGGCTTCGTTGTCGCGGAGGCTGGATTTGTGGTGGGTTATTGTCGGTGTGGAGGGCGGGGATAGGGAGGGGGGGGGTGGAGGGGGGAATTTACGTGATGAGGTCGCCGGCGCCTTCGTTGAAGTAGTCTGTTTCGAAAACTTGTTAGGTGAAGTCTCCTGGATTTGGAGGTGGTGGTGGTGTATGGACGCACCTCGCACCACCGGGGGTAGGCGTTTCTGTGCCTCCATCGCCAGGTCGGCGATGGTGAGGACTTTGGGGTCGTAGGTCTTGCCGCGGTTGGCCATGGTGTCTGTCGCGTGTGTATGAGAGAACTTGGGGAAATCGTGGTGAAGCATACGGAAGACATCAGGGCTATATACCTCTCCAGCTGTGTCAATCCAAGCAAGAGTCTCCGTTCAGTGCATACATACATACATACATACTCCTCGCGCACGATTAGCGATTCCGGCAAGTCATCCCGGCTTGTCCCCACATGGCAAGTCGTCCCGGATAAGAGACAGTACAGATAGCCCTAATTGGACTTGCCCAGGCAGCTTTGCATCCTCACAGCATATAAACCAACCCCCCGCTTTGCACAGCAACTCGCCATTGGAGATCCTCACCACCACTCAATCCCCCTCCTTTATCATGTCTCTCAAGTCCCTCGTGACGGACCCTGCTGCTGCCTACCATGCAGCAGGGGTCATCTCCACCGGCCCTCTGCTGCACATCTCCGGACAGCCCGGGACACTGGCGGGCCAGGCCCCCTCCGATGGTCTCTCGCAGATCCATCTGGCGCTGCTCAACCTGCACCGGGTCATCGCGGCGGCCGGGGCCTCTCCACGGGACATTGTCAGCCTGACCCTCTACGTTGTCAATTACGATGCGGCCAACCGTCTGCACCCGAAGCCTCTACAGACCTTTCTGGCCGGCCATCTGCCCGCTGTCACGGTCGTGCCGGTGCCTGTGCTGGCTGTGCCCGACTGGAGGTATGAGATTGCCGCCACCGTTGCAGTCCCCTCCCCAGCAGTCCCCGCGTCGCTGCCCGCGCCCACCGATGGCGAGGTCGACGTCCTGGTCATCGGCGCCGGGCTCTCTGGACTAGCCGCCGCCGAATCCGTCATCCAGTCCGGCCTCTCGTGCCTCATTCTGGAAGGCCGTGACCGGGTGGGCGGGAAGACCTGGACTCAGCCCCTCCCCAGCGGCACCGGAGTCGTCGATCTCGGAGCGGCCTGGATCAACGATACCAACCAGACGGAAATGATTTCCCTCGCCCGCCGCGCCGGGGTCGAGCTCATCGAGCAGAACACCACCGGAAATTGTCTCCTCGAGCAAGCCGACGGCCCAACCGTCCTCTTCCCCTACGGCCAGACCCCATGCGTAAGCGCCCGCCCGCAAAATCCCCATGCCGCAACTGCCACCAATCTAACCCGATCCAGATCACTCCGCAAGCCCAGAGCGAGCTGGACAGCGTCCGCGAGATGTGCGAGGCCGACTGCCAGGCGCTTTCCTGCAGCGACCCGGCCGACCCGGCCCTCGACTCGCGCTCCTTCGACGCCTACCTGCAATCGCGCAACGTCAGCCCCGCCGCCCGGGCCACCGCCGCGGTCTGGACCCGCGCCATGCTCGGCCACGAGCCCACCGACGTCTCCGCCCTCTACTTCCTCAACTACTGCCGCTCCGGCGGGGGACTGATCCAGATGCGCTCCGACCGCCGCCACGGCGCGCAGTACCTCCGCGTCCGCGAGGGGACGCAGCGCTTCTCCCAAGCCATCGCAGCGGACCTCCCCGCGGACACGATCCAGTTCAACGAGCGCGTCGCCGCCATCCGCCAGCGCCCGGGGACTGGGACTGGCGCCGTCGTCGTGTCGCGGTCCGGACGAGCCATCCACGCCCAGACAGTCATCTGCGCGATCCCGACCCCCGTCATCAAGTCCATCCGCTTCGACCCGGCGCTGCCGCCCAAGAAACAGCTGCTGGTCGACTCCTTCCGGTACGGATACTACACCAAGGTGATGCTGGTCTTTCGGTCGGCCTGGTGGGTGGCGCGCGGGTACTGCGGGCTGGTGCAGTCGTTCCGGGGCCCGGCCTCCATCTACCGCGACACGAGCAGCCCCCGGGACGGGAAGTACGTGCTCACCGCATTCTTGGCCGGGGAGAGCGGGCGCCAGTGGGCGCAAGAGAAAGAGGTGCGGCTGCGCGAGCAGACGCTGCTGACCCAGCTCGGCCAGATCTACAATGAGCCGGATCTGCCAGCCCGCGAGTTTGTGGAGGCGCTGGGCCACGAGTGGTGCGAGGAGGAATTGGCGGGCGGGGGGTGTCCGTGTCCCGCGCTGCCGCCGGGGGTGTTGACGCTGGCGGGTGAGGCGTTACGCCAGCCAGTGGGGAATGTGCATTTTGTGGGGACGGAGACGGCGGCGGAGTGGAAGGGGTATATGGAGGGGGCGGTGCGGAGTGGACGACGGGGAGCGAGGGAGGTGGTGCAGGGGTTGAATCGGAGTCGACTGTAGGTACTGTAGATGAATCAAGTCCTCGCGTGCAATAGAGGAGATGATGATGAACTCCAGCTGGACATTAGAGCCTACAGTGTCTCCCTGAGGGGAGATGTAAAAGCTGTAAACCAGACAAACTAGACAAACTAGACAAACCAGATAAACCAGACAAACGTCAAGTGATTACATCAGCACAATTCACGCCCCTCCCGTTCATTCGGCGAATCTCCTCTGCGCCCCTTAATTAACTCTAGTCTAGCATGGATCCTGGATACTCGCAGTACTTAACATCTCTATCTCTCTCTCTCAATCCCTCGGGCTCATCATGACCCTTCGACTCCGCCGGCTTCTCCCCGCCGTTCTCCTCGTGGGAATCATCTACACCCTCCACCACACCTTCACATCCCCCCAATCCCTGCCCCCCCTCCACCCGGTCCCCGCCGATTGCGCCCTCCCCTCCATCTACAATGACGTCCTGGTCATCCTCAAGACGGGGATCACCGAAGCCCGCGACAAAGTCCCGCCACACCTGACCACCACCCTCCGCTGCATCCCCAACTACGTCCTCTACTCCGACTACGCCGAGCCCCTGTCCGCGCGCGTCTCCACGCAAGACATCCTGGGGCCCTACATCTCCGCCACCACCCAAGCCACGAACCCGGACTTCGCCCTCTACCAGCGCGTGCGCCTCGCCGGCCACGCCGGCCTGACCGCGGCCGACCTGGTCGCCGACGTCAACACCCCGATCGGCAAACCCAACAACCCGGGCTGGAAGCTGGACAAGTGGAAGTTCCTGCCTATGGTGGACGCCGCGCTCGCCGCCCGCCCCACCGCCCAGTGGTTCGTCTTCATGGAGGCGGACACCTACCTCCTGTGGCACAATCTCGCCGCCTGGCTGGCGCGCTTCTCCCCCGCCGAGCCCCTGTATCTGGGCAACCAGATGCAGATCGTCGACGCCCTGTTCGCCCACGGCGGCTCCGGCTTCGTGCTCTCGCGCCCGGCCATGGAGCGGGCCCGGGCCCTGCGCGCGCGGAGCCCCGACGGCTGGGAGACGGCAGTCGATGCGCACTGGGCGGGAGATTGTCTGCTCGGGATCCTGTTGGAGAGCGGCGGGGTCCCGCTGACGTGGAGCTGGCCCATGCTGCAGATCGCGCCCCCGCGGGAGGTGGATTACTTTTCCGCGCGCGCGGACACCCCGGCCCGCGTCTGGTGTTATCCCGCCGTCTCGTTCCATCATCTGGAGGGGGAGGCGGATCTGGTGGAGCTGGCGGAGATGGAGGCTGGCTGGGAGCGGGATGGGCATCGGGGCCAGGTTCTGCTGTATCGGGACGTGTTTTGGCGGATGGTGTGGGGGCAGATCCAGTCGGTCCGACCCGGCTGGGATAATCTGGCGGGGGAGGAGGTCGGGCGCACAACGACGGGGGATGAGTGCAGGGAGATGTGTGCCCACGAGGCGCTGTGTCTGGGCTATCGCTTTGCGGTCGCGGATGGGCGGTGCTGGATCGGGCGGGGGATGCAGTTGGGACGGCCAGCGGACGGATTCGTGTCTGGCTGGATGACGCAGCGCATTCAGGCCGTCGCGGAGAGTCTGGGCCAGTGCCAGGAGATAAGTTGGATTGGTTGAGGGGAGCAGCCTCTGCATTTTTTTTGTGTGTGTGTGTTTTTTTTCTGTGTTTTTTCTATAGAGCTACACTGGTCATGGTCTTGGTCTGGTCCGGCTGGTCCGGCTGGTCCTGCGAACCCTGCCCCCCCTCCTCCAGGTAATATCCCTGGCTTGACCCCCGGATCATGAACTCCCGCGCCAGCCCCTTGACCTGCAAGTCGACCAGCTGCGAATCGTGGTACTGGAACTGCCCCAGCTGGAGCTGGCGGCCCGCCGCGAAATCGAACGAGCGCAGCACATCCACCCGGAACTGCACCGTCGGACGGTCGTCGTCCGCAGTCAAGCGCACGGCGCCGGTGACGCTGTAGCGGAAGCGGTCCAGAGCGAGAAACCAATCCCAGCCCTCCTCGCTGGTGGTGGCGTATTCGTGCCAGAAGCTGCTGAACTGGACGGTGGGGCGGGCGCCCGCGATCAGGTCCTGGGCGGCCAGGCGCGCCTTGAAGCTCACCAGCGTGTGCACCTCCTGGTAGAAGCGGGGGAGCGCCGCCAGCAGCTCGTCGGGCGCGATGTCGGCGTCCGTGCCGGTGTTACTCAGGTAGTGTTGCAGGTAGTGGGCGAAGTGCGGCAGTTGCTGCTGCTGCGCCGTGTGGGCGAGGGCGTAGAATTCGGTCTTTTGCGTGTGGTCGGCCGCGGTGGCTCGCTGGGATTTCCAGGGGAATTGTGCAGTGTGGTCGGAGGGAGGAGGATCGTGGGGAGGGGGTGGGAGACTGACCCCCCTGCAGGAGACCGCGATGGGGTGGAGGAGGAGTGGGACGAGAAGCTGCCATATCCGCATGATGGATGCTGTTTGTGGTGGGGATCAATCACTAAGTAGAGCAATTGTACCAGTTACTGCAATAGAGAGGCGGAATCAGCAAACAGCACCGCAGCACAAAAGAGGAGAAGAAATAACAACAGACCGAGAGTGTGGGTGACAGACAGACAGACTGCAGAAAAGACAAACGGAGGGAAATTGAGAAACACAAAAGACCCCTAGACCCTTCACGGATTAACCGCAAGGCTAACCGGCGACTCCATCAATCTCAAACACACACAGTGGAGTGCGGGAGGGAGAAATGCACCTATCATCACCCAGACCTGCTGGATCGGCATTAAGGGACCAAGGGATCATCCAACCATCGCTGCTGCAGGGCCGGCCCTGCATCTGTCACGGAGTTCTCCGTCAAACCAACTGTCGTGTATTCACGCAGACCGGTTTGATGAATGGGTGAAGGGAAGATGGCAGCCTGTACCTCAATTCTCCCATTCGGCCAGTCACACTGAAAGTGAGTCAAATGCAGCAGGGCAGTGAAGCGAGGATTGAAGAGAGGGAAAAGTTGACCGAATCTGGGCCCCACTGGGCTGAATCTGGACTCCTCGCTTGTCGTTTGATTCGGGGAACTCTCCGGTATCGCTGTTGCAGTCGACTTTGGCTTCACAAATTGCCATTGTTGGAGTTCGTGTTCTTCATTCACGTCCAATTCAATATTTTGGGTAATAGTTTCGTCATCATTCAGGGAGTCCTCATTCACCTGAACCCAATCATGTTGTGTCATAAGTTATAAATATCTCCCTTCTCCCTCGCCTGGTCCTCTCTTTCCGTCCAGCTCCCACTCGGCTCCTTTTCTCCACTTGAACTCCTGCTCTCCCGGGCTAGAGTTACCGACCGTCAAACTCATGGCACCAGGAATTCCTCTAACCACTATGTTTGACACATCGGCGGAAGCAGTGCAGACATAATTATTTCCTTGTTTCGTGGTTTCTTGCTCTATCATCAACCACGATTACCATCATGTCACAAACGCACTCGACCTGAAGTTACAACGACAAGAACAACACCTACCTTGATCACGGTCCTCAGTAACAATCAAATGATCACCCGAACCATGCAGCCACGCGATGGGGGTAGCCTCAGCGTGAGCTGTCGAGCAATGTACCCCCGAAGCTTGTCCACCTTGTCCAGATACCACTTGAATCGCTCCCTGGTCTGGAACAAGATCAGGTGTGAGTGACCGGGTTGACTCCTTCCCAGGTCCTGCATCATTGCCACAATCTCAAAGAACCAGCAATCAAAAGTCGTACCTCTCATCATCCAACTATCCCCAACATGAAAGAGGCTATAGAAAGCCCCCACCCCAGCATCACCATCCAGTTCACCCAATCCCAAATCTTCCCTTCGACCACCAACCCTGCCCTTCCACCACCATAAATCCCCAGCACACCTCACCAAGCACCACGGTCGGGACGATGACGTGAAATATGAGCCAGAAGTCAACACAGAATATGACATCCAAGCCAACTCATAATGCACCACAGAGAATGACACAGAACAGAACCCAGAAGACCATCCTACTAACTGGTCCACACTTCTCACGGTGGCACTTCGCACCTACCCTCAACTCCAGAGCCGGTTCTCGTGCGGGATCCTGGTCGAGCGTGGCCGGCTACACAGGGGTCCGCTCTCAGGCCAAGTCCGGCTCCCATTGCTTCTTCCTTGGGCTTCATGCAACTTCATCCGAGATCGTCAGATGCCAGGCATCCCGCTGGTTGTATAGCCGCCCGAAAGCGATGAGCTCAAAGTTCGAGCCTGCCGGTGACTTTGCTATGCTTGCAAGGGATTTGTCTTAGAATGACCCGTACCAATATCTTTCGCGTGGGACTTCTCGCCGGAGCCCGCTGAGAGAAAAGACACCATATGATTCAGAAAGGCCACATTTCGCCATCGTCAATCGGGCGTTCAAAGTGCCGATCACAATGCGCTGGTCGAGATGACCCCAACACAGTCTCATCCATTGCTGCTACCTCAACATCCGCGGTGGTGTAGTGTCGCTCTGCGGAGAGGCTGTGGGCGCCCGCAACCACGCCGCCATACACTATCCTGCCAGCCCCAAGCCACCTGAAACTGGGTGCCGCCGTGCTGCAGTTCACGGCGCAGCAGCCTGGTGTCTGCTTCTTCAGACTTTGTTCCCAGCAGGCCGCGCGGAAGCCACTTGATGCTCTGTTTCAGGCGCAGCGCTACGAGATTGCGGTGTGACAGAATCACCTTGGCATCATTATCTATCTTCTGCAACCAGGACCGGCCAATGGCGGTAGCTGGCTCGCCTTCAGCCAGCCGAGAGAGACAGCATCTCTGTGGAGTACACTATTACACCGTCCGCTGGAAGACCTGGCCGAACTCACAATGCTGTACACTACCCGGAAAGCCAACCGTATGCTCCAGCTGCCCCTCGCAGAGAACTGTGGGGATCGGCTTCTCTCCGCCTGAAACCCGGGGCAAGGTGACGGACATTCCGCATGATCAATCTCACTCCTCCAGAAGTCAGCCAGAAGAGCTAGATGCTCTAACCAAGACGGCTCTGATCGAGCTCTCGCTCTCGCTCAGTGGTGTAAAAACAGATCAACTGTACGCGAAAATTGAGAGCAAACAGCACAAATTCAACTGGTTGGGCTTCGAGAGACCATCGAGATGCGGATAGCTCGTTGATGCTTCTGAAGATCGAGTCACTGGCAACTCACCAATAAAGAGGAAGCTTTCTTCTATGAAGCCCAGACTCTCGCGCAAGACAAGCAAACTCTCATACGCCGAACAGGCTGATCGCAGGATCGAGCACGCCACACAGCCGGCAGGCGACCGCATGAGCTCTTGTTGATGAAAGTGAAACTCATATCGGCATCTTCGGTCCTCAGAACAATGTTGACCGGGCGTTTCTCCGATAGCCGGGAACAGGCAAAACGGAGAACCGACGCGCAAGGGCCCTTGCTGCTATTGACAGGCCCGATATTGATCTCCCACCACCGGGGCAACAAGTTGCGACATTGCACTTGACTTTGAGTTGTTCGCGGACCTAACCATCCTCGTGGACTAGACACGTGCAGCTGCTGGAACTCGCCGCCCGCGCGCGGCTGTTGCGGCTGCGGCTGCCTCCCGGCCTCAAGGCCTGTGTCGAGGATCGCTGCCAGTCGGGCCTTTCTCCGCATGAGAAGGCGCAATGAGTCAAGCGCAAAGAGGCCGAAAGAAAGGCCTTTAATGCAGGATCCCAGGTTGTGGCGTACTGTGCCGGGGATGTCGTGCACATGCATTCTGACAAGAAGATTGATATTGCGTCACACCTTCCTGCGACTGCATCCTTCGCTCGAATACTCAATTCCTCTACGATGGCCGTTACACTACATCGGATGCTGTTATGGACACTTCTGTTCACATTCTTGATGAGAGCGTTGTTGTTGTGGTGGATTCCAGGCTATCTGGGGAACACTATCTACACTGATGTTGTTCTAACGAACCCCACCCCGGGACTCCAAACCCACCCTTCTATCGGTGGCTGAGGTCAATGCTGGAAAGTATGACGTGATCCAGTACCAGTGACAGTTAGCGTGCTACTCATCACGCGCCCATTCACTTGGTGTCGAAATGAATGGAATCCTGTTGAGCAATCTCGCTGGCCCATATCTTGAGGTTCCGATAGCTGCTCGTTCTCGACCCTATCACCACTGAAGCGCAGAAGCATTAGGCGACCGACACTTCGAAGACGGTACTTACAGGTGATGCACCCTCTCAAACAGCTGTGCGGCACACCGTGGGTATACAAATTCGCGCTGTGGCTGATGAAGATCGTGAGATGGTAGCAGCGATGCCAGCTGCCGCAATATTAGCAGCAGCGACCGTAAAGTAGGTCAGTTCGGTATAGGATAGTAGCAGTCTCTATTATTTCTCAAGACTAACCCTTGCTATCCAGAAGGAATGGCAGGGCTCCTAGATTAAATACGGGAGAGACTTAAGGCATTGACGTCACGACTATTGCATCAAGAATACGTGGGTGAATCGTCCGCAAGTCGACATGGTCACGAAAGGGCCGCTGGTTCAGGAGTTGAGGGATACTTTTCCGGTGGAGGTGGTCAGGGGCCTATAGGGTTAGCTATGATTTGCTGGAGTTTGTAGCACGTTTTGATACCCTGGCGCCGCCGTGGGATGAATGCAGACCCCCGGAACACTTCGAGACTATTGGCGAAGGCCCCGCGATTACGCTGAGGGCTTCCGGGATTGTGGCGGTCACGAAAGTTGCCTCTGGCTTGAGTGACCATGCAGCATCTTGTTCTGTTCGGCTGGGAAAACAGACCCCGGGTCAACGAGCTGAGCTGCACGGTAACTTCAAGCTATTCAAAATGTAGCAGCACTGCTCGAATGCTCTTACTGCAAGCTTGGGATCCCGGGCGCTTGGAGTTTGACCCTGCGCCCCTATTAACAATATGTTGCCGACAAGTTGGATGCATGAACTGAGTGAAACAGTCAATGCGAAGATCGTGCTATATGATGGGAACTCAAGCACGACCTAGCCTAGGGCGATCACTTCATAGCGTCCACAAATCCCAGCTAGCATGCCGGTCCTTCAGCCGGCTCACTCATGATGCTCCCAGTACGGGTAGCCTTGCTCATCCTGCTTCTCTCTGCAGACCCTCCTGTTCACCCTCGACATACATTCTGTCCACAATGATCGGCAGCAGCAGCAATGGGGCCAACAACACCCAGAGAGCCAAACGGCTCCCCTCGGCCCAACGCCTTACGTGGTCTTGAGCACAGCAGGACTTTTTATCTCGCCTTACTCAATACAACAAGATCAACCATCTCATCAGGTTATGAGCCCGGACCGGCTTAGCGGAAAGCAGGACTGGCCGGTATGGCTTATGCACGTCAAAGACACCCTCTTCCACCATGGTGCGGAGGGGTTGATCAACATCACCGTCCCCCGCCCTACTCAGGGAACAAATTCATATCGAATATGGTTCAAGTGGTCTATGCTGATCAAGAGTTGGCTCACAGTATTAATCTCTGCTGATCTACAGCATATATTCCTGATCTACCACAAATAACTATTCTGATAAAATAGATCTTTATATTTTTGTCAAGGGAAGTCAAAAAGACTCTGCCGTGTGCTGTTACTACTTGCCTTCTTGGCTATACCAGTCTCGGGAAGCAATATCGCGTCTTGGATGTGGGAGAGGATGGCATTGTGACTGCTAGAGATAATTAATATAATAATGGTCTAGATTGAGATGACTACAGATTTCTGGATAATAACAGTCGGGGAGTGAATAAGTCTACCAGAGTCAGGTGATAAATTTTGAAGGATGCCGATTTGCAGTGAAAGAATCAGGAGCCAACCAAAACAAGAGTCAGGGTACATGTAATTTGCCATCGACATCTCACACATCCTTTAGATTCATTTCCATCTCAAATTTTCGTCATCCTCGGATTCGAACACCTCGGCCATCGCATCCCCACCAACCCTCTTCGAACGTAGCCATCACATCTCGATCGTCCATCACGGACTGCTGACCTTGCGGTTGCGTCACATTACAATAAACAAGTGTCAGTAATGACGTGAAGCTCTACTGTAACACATGAGGTAAGTTTTGATCTTTCGACAGTGTCATTAATTCTCTTTGCCAATTCCTATAATCTAAATCATCTTACCGTTTACAATTACTTTCCCACTTCAAACACCTCCCTGAACACTTGATCAGAAACACTTGATCAAAGACGGGCTTGTCACTATTTCGCTCGAGGAAGGACAGGATCACGATGTCCCGTCTTTATTGCCCACGGCTATAGCTGCTCGAGGGTTCTCATCGTCAGAAGACGGGCCTTCCATCCGGAACCGAAGCCTGGCCATCACCCGCGAAGGGACTTGCAAGGCGACCCAGCAGATGCTGGCACAGTGTAACCCATCAATCCCGGCTAGATCGAGTTCACTAAACTCAGCGACCTTTTCGGCGGTCCTTGTCGCAATGGAAGAGACTGGTGATAACAGCGGATTCGGATTCTCAAGCGGGAGACGGGTACCGGCCGTTTTCGGACGAGCAGCATATACTAGACGGGATATAGCCTGGCTACTTAGCCCATACTTTGTCGAAGATGTTGGCGTCATTTTCCCCCCTGTCTCTGTCTCTGGATGTCCTCGGGGCAACTCGGCGATGTCCTCGGGTTTAGTTAGGCCCGAGGAACAGTTGCCGCCGACCATGCAACGGCTCGTGGCATACAGCTCGGAGATAAGTCGACAGCTTCCATCTGATAAGATCAAGCATCAGGTCCACGCACTCATCATATTCGAACATACGGCTTGCACAGTCCCCCGATCAAAAACATCTATCCCCTTCTAGAAAATGTCACTCCACCTCCTAAGATAAACTTGAGCCTTAGAGATAAGCACCCATCCTCGACGCACCACCCGACCCCACACCCTGGTCGAGCTAGGCGTTTACATCGGCTATCCGCCATCCGATTCGATTCGGAAACAAGGTGCGCAAGGTTACCGGCAGCGGGGCGGCTGCACGGTACTACAGCCTCAAGGGCAACACCGCATACGCGGCTATCGCACCATCGCTCGTGGAGTTTTGCAGGGTTGAGGGATCTTGTGCGGATTGTGGTCGCGGAGGCGGCGGAGTCGTTGGCGGGGCTTGCGCCGCAGCAGCTGCTTCGTGGGGAGATGCGGTGTGTGGATGTCGTAGCGGAAACCCCACAAGACTGGAAGTTGGGCATATGCTTGGTTGTGCTGCCTCGTCTACCCACTCTTATTGCAAATTCTTGAAAGGCTTAGGGCTGGCTCTTATTTTCTTTGCCCGATGGGGAGATCATACACCCGATGTCTGGATTGTGCAACGTGCCTTCTGAAACATGTCGCTGCAACATCCTTGTGAAGCGTGCTGCTTGATTTCTCTTATTGCACCAGGTAGGAGTATTTGTATTCTCTCATTTAGATAGTCATTGTGTTGCGGTGGTTGGTTGGGTTGTGGTATATTTCTCTTTCTATATACCGCGCAGCCCGCCGCCCCGCCAGATTCAGTGCAAGGCATTTGTCTGTACCTCACTCATTGTCATGCAGGTTGCGTGTATCAACCAGGCATCAAAACTGTTTACCACTCGATGCAAGTCCTTTCCTGCTGTACGACCACGATCAACGCACGAAGGATAAGCTGACGCGGGGAAAACGGCACACCTACCGTACCTGCAGGCGGTTCCATTACCCACTTCGGCAAACAATGCGCAGACGTGCATCACCCATGACTGATGCACACAAATGCTCAAGTATACTGATGTGAAGTGAGGAATTCATCTCGGGAACAACTATCTCTTGCAGTGCATGCCTTCCGCCCGTGCGGACTTTGAAGCCTGACGTCTTTTTCCCCCTCTTCAGTGGATTGTGTTTTGCGTGCCTGAATGAGGGTTGAAGCTCGTCGCTTCCATCTGGACTGATGAAGTGGACACGGGGCTGGGAAGGGACGAGAAGACACGTTACAAGTCAAGATACAGGAGAAACCCCCCTCCTTCTCTATCTGTGGCCTTTTTTTCTTTTTTGGATAAGTAAAGGCTCGTGCGTGAGATCACTTGTCTCATGCATATCAGGTGGGTTTGCTGCATCTTAAGACATATAAGTAGAGAGCATGCATGTTCACCAAGTATCTTTGTCAAAAGGTCACGCCCAGCGTGCTCAGCTATACTACACCTTCACCGGTGGACGAATGATCATAGCTTTTTCTTATGTACATAACCAAGCTCCGCAGGAGTGCGTCAGGCCAGTATCAGCCAAGTGACTATTTACATACCCCACATTCCAGCTCGGGGTTGGCTTTTTTGTTCATCTACAGACCACTCGCCTATCCATCAGTTCCTCTTCCTCAACACCCCCTGCAGTGGCTGCACCATCTCTGCCCAGAACCCCATCGCCGGCTGCCTCTCCTGCAACTCCTCCTCATACGCCGTAATCGCCGGCGCATCCCAGACGAGATCCGCCTCCATTGGCCGCACAAACCTTGTCCGCTTGACCAGCTTCCAGCCCAGAAACAGCGCCGGGGCAACAATCACCATCGTGTAGTAGGTCACAAAGTCCGCCGCGCTCCAGGGCATGAAGCTACTGTACCCATAGCACGTCACGACGCAGACCATCCAGACCAGTCCGATATACCCGCTCCAGGGCTGGAACCAGCCGCGGTAGGGCAGCCGGGCGCGGTCGAAGCCCTGGGCGCGACACGCGCGAAAGAAACAGATATACGTGATCGTCATGACGATATAGTTGATGACGCCCGCGGACGTGGTCAGGTTGATGATCCAGCTCAGCACGGTCGCCGTGTTGTTCGACAGCTGCAGGAACGAGAGAAAGGGGAAGAGCATGACGACCCCGAAGCAGTAGATCGGGACGCCCTGGCGCGTGCACCGCCGGAAGATGCGCGGCGCGCGGCCTTCCACCGCCAGCCCGTGCAGCACGCGCGTCGCCGTGTAGGTGTAGGTGTTGCCCGCGGAGAAGATGCTGGTGACCAGCAGGGCGTTGACGAGGTGCGGGAGGACGCTGATTCCCAGGTTGCCCATGGCGATCACGTAGGGAGACGCGGAGGCGGACCCTGCGCCTGCGGAAGCACCGGTCGTGATCGCGACCAGGTTGGGGTCGTTGTAGGCCACGACCACCCCGACGCAGAGCGCGCTGCCGACGAAAAAGATCCCGAAGCGCCAGTAGACGGTCTTGAACGCGTTCTTGATGTACCGGCGCGGGTGCTTGCTCTCTGCTGCCACCATGGAGATGTACTCCGGTCCGACGCAGGCGAACGAGGCCGACCACAGAGCCGCCAGAAACCCCTCGAAGCGACCCAGTGGCCCTGCGGTGAGGTATGGTGCGAATGCGCCGGGGTGGTTCCAATACCGGAATCCGTAGGCGTCACCCTGCGGGTTGCCCCCGACCATAGTGATGAAGGTGAAGAGGAACAGCACGAAGAAGAGAATTACCTTGCCACCGGACAGCCAGAACTCGGCTTCGCCATAGGCTCGCACGGCAAGCACGTTCAGCGATCTGAGGGAAACAGTGAGCAGGGCGGAACTTGTGTGGGTGGAGCTTGTGCGCCTGGTCGCAAGTGGGGAGATGGGGCTTACGCATAGAGGACAATGCAGGCCACGCAGATGGCTGCAGTGGGGATGTGGTCGCTCCAAAAGGCCAGCACCTCGGTCAAGGCCGTGATCTCGAAGGGGATCAGCAGCGCTTCATAGAAGAAAAAGTTCCAGCCGGCCATGAAACCAAAAGCGTCATCCACCCAGCGGCCGGCCAGACGAATAAAACCCCCGCTAACCGGCATATAAGTGGACATCTCCGCGAGACAGTTGTTGACCAGTGCGAGGACGCAGCTGTAGATGAGATAGGCGAGCAGTAAACTGCCGGGTCCGGACTTGGTCAGAGCGGTTCCAATGCTCACAAAGACCGCAGTGCCGATGGAGCCTCCGATGGCGATCAATTGGATCTGGCGGTTATCCAGACGACGCTGCAGCCCGCCAGCATCTTGGCCAACAATGGACCCGGGCTCGATGTCGGAAACAGTGGCGTACACGTCGCCTGAAGCGACTGATTTGCTCTTCTCCGCATCTACAGGACGATGTTGCGGGGGGAATGTCATGGTGGGCTGTTGGTGTGGAAGAGACGGATTGAGGGAATCCCTGCAAACTCAATACTGCCTGGGAATAAGGAAGGGCCTTTATAGCGATATCTTATCACTACCCGGTCAAGGATTCACTTGCCACTCGTTGCCACTCGCAACGAGACACCAAAGCAAGTAGTTTCTTACAGGCCTGATCGCGGTATCGCCGTACATGCATCTGGAATACGCATACTCAGTCCCGGCAAGGGAGAAGACCCCGAACTGGTTGGCCACCAGAGCCTGGGGTCTCATTCCTTTTGCCCCAGCAAGCAGCTGGGCGATCGACGGTGAGGGGAATCGAGTCTTCTTATCAGAGCCATAGCAGGCTAAGATATCGGTTGAGCACAGATCATTGGCCCGCATGTAGCACAAGATAAGCGTACGTCATGTAGAGGCTAGTGCTGGTCTTAGCGTCATAGAATCCTTTCGCTAGCAATAAGAGGGGCGAAGGAGATCGGGGCGCAGCTGGATGGTCGTGCAGAGACTTCGCCGTCGAGCATACTTGACCCCGGATTGAGACCTGCAGGCGCTGATCGCATTTGATTAACCCGATGACGGTTCCTGTCTCGCCAACGGTGATATGGTTCAAGCAGATCGGTTTGCCTCTTAGGGCTAGAGGACGGCTTCTTCTCCCTATCTGGTACTGTATGCCACGCGCCCCCTGCCTTGTAGAAGGGTTTGTGTGTCCAGGCACTATCCTCCATCCCAGAGCAGCGCATTCTTGATTTGTTGTAGTATTCCGCTCACAGGTCTAAAGATTCTTCGTGAACCTTGATGAAGTTGCGATTCTAGACGCCTGTTCAATCATGGACCATCGAGAAGACCGACAACAGAATTATCTCCACTCCCAATCCCCAGAACCACCTTGTCTCATCTCTACTCCCCAACACCACCAAGCCCGTCTTCCGAGACTGCCAGTATGCGTCGAGCTTTGCGACGAATATGATCCGTGGATACGGTCCGCAGTGAGCATCCCCCCGGGTGCATGATGGAAAGCACCGTTGCATGCAACTGGCAGGTATGCAACTATTAACCGAAAAAGAAGACGAGCACACTGCCCCTTCAACGCATGGAATAGCTCCGAGCTGCTGACTATGATCCCCAAAGTCGCGAGCAGTGGACGTAGGCCACTTCAACGTCTCCGTGAACAAGGCGGACGATGACTACGCTGTCACCCAGACACAACCCAGCCGGAAAAATGACACACCCACCCGCTTTTGCCTGGTACTACAACAGCTCTGCCCCTTTGTCTGTATGATCATGCTTTCAGATTGCACCGGGATGGTCGGCGGTGAAACAGCAGTCAAGATCAGCTAGCGGAGAGGTGTTGCAATTCCGGGGTCGATGATGGTACGGTACTCCCTGTAGCCCTGTAGCCCTGTAGCCCTGTAGCCCTGTAGCCCTGTAGCCCCTCTCCAGATCTAGATAAATGTTTTCTTCCGTCAGTGGTCGTTGTTGTCGATGATTCAGGCAGATTGCCTTGCTAGCTTGCTTTGGCTTCTGAATTGAAGAGACCGGGGCTTGATCTTTCGAAGTATATAACCTTCAGGTGACCGATGTCCTCGGTGCATCACCTGGTTCTCAGACCGTGGGCGAAACTCCAAACCATCGATGCAGTAAATTAAGCGTGGTGCATGGAAGTCTCTTAGGCAAAATCTTTTATGCGAGACTAGTTGGTATCAGTCACGCTGCAATGACATTAGTTGGTATAGTGAGCAGAACGCGTTTCATATATACGGGTCAAGAACATACTGACAACAACCTCACAAGCGGTGCACTGTTGAATTGAAGGGTCTTCCAGCTCGAGTAGCTCAACAAGCAGCTCCACCAACAGGAGGTGCAAGAAGTTGTCCGAGTCTAAAGCATCGAATTGACCACCGGAGGTGCACTCGAAATTCCACGTGGTTGGCATGCTCGACGGCCATATTGACGCCACCATCTACCATCTTGTGGATCAGCACGGCATTACGAGCGTGATTCCTCGCTCTTCATTCTTTACTTTTTCTCTTCTTCATCATCATCATCTCAAGTACAATACTTGCGATAAAATGACTGCTGGGATCGTGGACTTTCCTCTGCAGGTCCGACAAAGCAGGTGTTTGTTGCACATTCAAGGAACGGAAAGGGGGCCATTGGGATGAATAAGGTGCCTTACTCTTGACACGAGGCATGAGGTCGATTAGCAAGACATTCGAGCACATTCATTGGGAAAGGAAGACAAGAGCATTAGGGAAGGGGGGCGGTGCTGGTGGGAAAAAGGCAAATGAGCACGTGATGTGTGATATGGCCACTGCAGCTCTGAGTAGATGCCCCTCGCTCGTACCGAGCCTCGTAGAGGAAAGCCCTCGAGAGTCTAAACGATATGGACAGTCCCGCGTGGTCGTGAGGAATGTCCGAGGCACAATCACACAAGTGTCCTCTAGCAAGTGTCATCTACGACAGGTCAGTCAGTCAGATCAGTCTATAACACATCTAGAGCCCCAATCACAAGAGAACAAGAATATGATCACGTATCAACATTAAGTCTATAACAGATACCCACAGATCCAACACAGCCAAAATCCTTAACGTTCGATCCAGCCAACAAGCCGCCCACCCAATCTATCCGGGGAATCAGAACCACAGAAACAGCCAAAAATGAAAAAAAAAAAAAAAAAAAAAAAAAAAAAAAAAAAAAAAAAAAAAAAAATTAAAAAAGCACCTGAAAGGAAACGGCTGGATACCAAATCGAGCCCGGTTCCAGAATGGTCTGACGCCCCAATGTTCCATGATCTCCATGGACAATAGCAGAACAGTTGATCGGTCATTCCGTCCAGACAGAGATCAAGACCCCACCCGATCTGGACACTGGACCCAGATCTATATAAACGCCAAGAGCAAGGATAATTCAAAGAAGCAAAAAAGATAGTCAGACACCCGTCCCGCTGGTGACTTAACACATAGCTCGTGACGTACGCCATGGATCTCCAACGCTAAAATATAAACATACGAAGAGGATGGCAGGATGGTGAGCCAAAAAGGATGAGAATTCTAGTTTCCGTCCCGCAGCCTGGAGAAACAAGAACGATCCAGACGAAAAAATGGGGGTCCCCTCGTTCAGAATCGAAAAGAAATATGCCGCCCAAAATCCTTTGCGCCCGCTAACAAGCAGCCTGGTATTATGAAGCTGTATGCATGGTGGTATCAGACGGAAAAGAAATAGATAAAATGTATGCAATGCGTCGCCCGGGGTATCATGCCACTGTGTAGTTTGGAAGTTCTAATCGGAATGTTCGTGATGCCCATTGTCGGCTGCGGCGTTAGGGCGGAGATTGTCCTTGACCCGGATGTCCCATGGGCGGAGGACTGCCAAACCCTGCTTGCTGCACGGGATCGCCAGCATACATGGGATATTGCACCACACTCATCGGAGACATAGCATTGAGATCCTGCCATCCAGGATATCCCATCGCCCCCGGTTGACCAGGATACGAAACAGACACCGGCGTACCTTGTAGATCCGCGGAGGGCGGACTTTGCGGATTCATCGGGACCCCAGGGAATGATTGCGCCGGACTAGTCATTCTGCGTTTGAGATCCGCGGGGAGCGGTTGCACGAATTGACCTGGATTGGGATACGATGCCGTCATGTCGGCGGGTTGCGCAGGGAACGTCATCGACCGCGTGGGTGCCACCTGCCACACAGATCCGTCGGGCTGCATGGTATAGGTGGGTGCTGGATTGAGCGGTTGATTCTGCGAGGGCACCGTTGGAGTGCCCGGAAGAGGAGATGTCGCCGGCATCGGGGCCATTTGGCCCGGCGTGGGCGTCCAGACATTCGCAGGCATGTTCATCATGGTCTTGCCTGCAGCCATTGAGGCCAGCATTTGCTGATCGGGAATGGTCGTGAAGTCGTCCCAGGCGACAGTGGAAGGGTCCATGGCCGGGTGCGGCGCGAATTCAGAAGGAACGGTGCGATCTATTATTGAGTTAGGAGGAAGACCGTGCGCTTTCGCCAGAGATGCACAAACCAGGAGCGAAAGCTGCCATGGGGTTACCCGGAAACACAGCAGCGTTGAACCCCGCTACATCCGTGTTGGCGCCCAACGACATTGATTGATACGGGAAGTACGCCTCGGTTTGCTCGCCAGTGAGAGTGGGTGGCGACGACGATGCCGTCGAAGGATCAGTAGATGCTGTTTCCAGACGGGAACTCGGACGCGATTTCTTCTCGATTGGGGGCTGCTGGTCGACGGGGAAGAACTGGCACTCTTTGCGCAACCGGATGCAGTTTTCGCAGCGTCCCTGGGCGTCGTCCGCGGCGACCAGGCATCGGATCTTGCGTCGTCGACAGTGCACTTGAAGGGTGATCATAAGCCCGAGGACCCGGACGAAGGGCGAGGAGGTGAACAAGAATAGAGCTTACCGCATGCGACAGAGGTGCGATGGTACCCAAGTTTGTTGCGCTTCTTATCTGCAGCGGATGATTCCATGATTGCGCCAGGTGGTATCGGAGAGGGGTCGAAATTCTGGACGAGTGAGGGCATAGCCCCAGTGAAAGGAGAGAGGTAATAGGATGGCGACCTGAGGCAGAAGCTGCATTAATTCAGGGAGCCGTGAGATCGAGTTGGTGGAGTGAGGGAGGACAGCGGATGTAGATGCTCGGCACGCCAACAGAATCAAGAGTCGATGATAGGTAGGTGCAATGTCAATCCGCAGATATGCATTCGTCGAATGCAAGCGACGCTGCAAGAGATTTGTCGCAAAGGAAGCTGGCGGTGGGTGGGGGAAAGAGACGAGAGGAGAATCCAACGGTGATCGCGGTCGTTATCGTGGTACGTATTGCGAATGGCCTCGTTTCAGCAGCGGGACTCTACACACTCTGTCCGCAGCAGGCACCGTTTAATGCCACACACACCCCCACACAAACCCAACAGACACCACACGAACCCCAGTCGATGTAAAAGACAAGACAAGGCAGAATCGGTTTTACGCGACTCGAGCGGAACGGGGGCAGGGACCGAAAGTGAGACCTGGATTAGAATTCTAGTCCTCGAGGCTATCGTCCACTGAGTCAATCTTGGCCAAGCTTCCTTGTCGAGCGAGGAGGCGGGCAGGCTGTCGCAAAGGATAAATTTCGGCCCAGCGCAGGTAAATTGTTAATGGATGAGGGGGACCCAGGATCCGCTCTGGGGAAATTAAAAAATAATGAAGACTGTATTCTGGATGGAACACTGGAGCAAGGAATGACTGGACCAGGAAGCACAGAGGGGTAGAAAAGATGTCAGTTGATGGGGATTAGTGGATGGTGCGGGAGAATCCGTGAGTGGTGATAATGAGGGTGAGAAGGGGTGACACCAGAGCGGGGAACGAGAGGGGAGAAGAGAGGAAGGATGAGGGGGGATTGAAGAGGAAGAAGAGGGGATGAAAAGAGAGAGGGAGAAGGAGGGAGAGGGAGGGAGGAGAAGGAGTGAGAAAGAGAAGAGAGTGGTGGAAGTTGAGTCGCGGCCAGTAACAGAAGTAGTCAGTAAGTAGTAGTAAGAAGTAGACGGAGGAGTTGAAGTTTCACTTTTCTCCCTCACTCGCTGCTCGCTCGGGATCGAAAGATGGATCTCGGGACTTTAATTTATCTGGTTAATTTGGGATCACTTCCTCTCTGGGATACCTCGTTTCGCTTTGTCTTCAGTCCTTCTGCGCTGGAAGTGTCAACAATGCAGAGGGTATCAAAGGATGATACTGTACATGCAATATCCTCGATCGATGCCAGAGCAGCAAGAAAAAGGGGTGTTGAGAGCCAAAACAGAAGATAAAAGTATAAAAGGTGAATAAGAGGAAAGGTTATTGGGAGGCTCGCAGCAGACTCTCCAAACTCTATGAAGCTAACCGACAGCCAAGTGGAAAGGAATTGGAAAAAAGAAAAGAGAGAAGATGGAAAAAAAAAGTAATTATTTCTAGGGAAATAAAAAAAAACACTGAAAATCCAAAGAAAAATTATAATACCTACTATTCTGGGATTTTTTATTTTGTTTGATAATTCCCAGTTTGAACTACTGAGGAATGAACGAGGAGATCAGGGTGGGTAAGGAGTCCCCAGCATCATCATCATCATTATAATCAATCAGTGGCAGATACCCAGCTACCTACTTCACGAAAGGGGAAGAGCAAAAGACAGAGGATGACGAAGTAGCAAAAACAATCTAAAATGAGCGGTTTATTTGCACACAATACCCATTACCCAATCTTGTGTGAGATCGCTAATAAGGTACTGTCAGTGCTGAAGCAAAGCCATGGAACAAGAGGGCCAAAACTGGCCTCAGGTGGGCTTCCCTCCAAGGTGAAACACCCTCCTCGAGTGTTTGACCATATGGGCAAACCTGGCCTAGGAACGAGGCACTACGACGACCTCTCGCTGACACTTATGCGCCTCCCTGCTCGGGAAGTCCGACTGGAGCAGTGCGCTCATTCAGCATCCTCGTCTATTGTTCATCAACCTCTACGCTTTGCCCGATTCAAGGTGTTCATCCGACTACAGTTACTTCCGCCAGCGACAAGGATCATGACAGTGGCCTCGGAATGTGGCGGAGGAATTGCAAAGAAGGAATGAAAGGGAGCGACAAGGTTCGACATCTGGTTCCTGACGTCGGAGCTATCCTGTAGCATATGGATCAGGCAGGGACAGATCCGACGATGGCTGCAGGCGTGTGCAGGTCCCGATTGTCATGCTGGCTGGCCATGCTGGCGCCTCTTCCTCACTCGCCTCTGTGGTAGGATCAGGACCAGGAACCAACCGATCATACCATTTGCATCACCATCATCATCAAGTGGAAGCCGCCGACGATTTACCCCTGATCTTAACCTCTCCCCGACTGGTTCATCCCAAACCACACGCACCCGTGGTCCCAGGGAGGTGGAAGCTGTGACAGACAGCCGGAAGCGGCTTAGTGAGAGGTGGGGGGGATGAAAGTCAGAAACGCGAAAGCGAGTCGAAAGAGAGACAGAAAGTGGGGAGGGAGGGAGGGAGGAGGAAAGGTAGCAAGCATGTGGGAAGGATAAGCCCTGGGGCTCTGAGGCAAGTGGATGAACGAGTATGGAAGGATGATGGGCGTTCTTGGATATCCTTAACCTACGGATACTGAATGAGGACTAGAGAAGGGAGATACGGAGTAGATAGCTGAGAAAGGAGAGGCGAGCTGTCAATTGCATCGATTGATTTGAAGAACTGGGGAATCTGGATCCCGGATGTTGCCCACTGAGCGTGGTTTTAAATTTAACACCCTCGTTGGGGTCCCAGGGTTGAGGATACAGCGTTCCATTGGATCGCCAGAGAGGTGGGTGGAAGTGGGGGAAGACATCGCAAGGCTGCACCAATCATGGAAAACATCGTCTCAGGGACTTGCCTTTTTGGGGTACGAGACGGCGGTGACCACCTTATCTCTATTAGGATTAGTGCACACATGAAACAGAGGCGCTCGAAGTTTGCTGAGCTTCTCGAAGCACTCCTGGAGGCCGGGACTCGTCATCCACTGGGTTCTTTCACAGCAATGATTGGTGAGCCATGGTGAGCCACCCTCTTCATCCAAATTCTTCGTCATCCTCTCCCAGTCTCTCTGTCACCTTTCCTGTCCTCCCACTGGTGCTTTTCATTGCTGCCCGTTAATGAGGATGGGCAGATTATGCTTAGTGTCTTGTCCTTTCTGGTCTCTCCTCCGTTCTCCGACGCCTCTGCTTGCTCTCTAATTTTCTCTTCCCCCTCCCCCCCCCCCCCCCCCCCCAAATCTCTCTCCATTCCCCCACCCCCCTTCCTCATTGTCACTGAAACCCGCACCATAATTTTCTCCTTTTGACAGAACTAGGTGATATTCAGCAAATGCTCCCACCATTTCATTCCATGGTTCTCTGCTCGGGTTCTCCAGTACTACGTCGCATAGACTGACTGAACCAAACCCCCCCCCCTAAGTTCCTACAGCCGCAGGAAATAAACTCCGCTCATGTCGGAGGGCAGACCAGATCTGTCACAAGGCGGTGGGCCCCCTTTTGGCCCCGGGTTTGATTAAGGATCATATCTGCATTCTTCTAGTGTGGCCAGTGGGCTGGGCTGACGGCCGTGGTCGGTAAGGGATCAGACTTGCATCAGCCCAGGATGACAGACCAGGGTGTGCAGGTTATCTGCATATCACGATGGACTCGAGTCTGGAGCGAGACTGTGCCAGTTCACACTACCTTGCACTAGACTCACTAACGATCCGATCGGGTTCCCACCCCAGAGCAAGCGAGCGAGACCCCGTGCGGAGTCTTGTTGGACAGGGTGCAGGAGTTATGTCAAAAAAGTATGCACCTTTGCATAAAGTCTAAGTGAAGCAGTGGCCTGTCTCTAGTTGGCAGGGTTGATAGATTAAGGCCGTATTCACCGGCAATTGATCAGGGTCCTTCTGAAACCTCCCTAATCAACATCCTTGGGCGATAGCCATGGATGAGTCGGTCGGATCCGTCGCTAGCCTGGGTTCCAGGTATAAGCTGGAACCGAGTCCTGCTGATGGCGTGTTGGGGAGGGAAGTACGTACGTATGCCAGCTGTTGGAGGTCTTGAGTAGTATCTCCTCCGTTGGTGGTGCTGGTCCCCGATGATGCCACAGTGCACGTTACTATTTTTAGGATCCACAATAGACACTTGACTCTACTGTGTACATCGGTACGGAGTACTCTGTACTGTACTCGTACCCTCAGGAGGCAATTGAGTTAATTGTCCATCGACCAGTTTGTAGGATGATGATCACATTGACTAAAACGAGCATGATAGCCAGGAGCCCCCAGGAACCTCCAGAAGCAAAGGCAGGTACTGGAGGAAGGAAAGCGTGGATATTGCTGCTTTGGTCGAGTTCTGCGTCGCTAGCGGGATGGATCGGGCAGCGGATATACACGTAAGCGAAGCTGCGCTGATCCCGCCTTAGTTTAGTGGCAGTGCTTGTAGTCTCTCGGCCTCTCACTACCTACTCCCTACACTTACACAGTTCTCCGTACACAGTGCACTGAGAAGTCTTCCCTTGCTTAACATGAAACCAGTTCGCCTCAATCTATCTCGGAATCCAACCAGTTCCCTTGATCTTTATCTGATCATCACACTTGCCACAGCATTGCGCAGTCATCTCCTCCAGGGTGATCTCTGATTGGCTTCTCTGTCGATGTTTCCCCTCTTCGGTCCTCAACTGAAATAGGTATTGCGCTCAATTGCCATGTCTTTGATACAGGCCCCCTTAGCTAGCAGCTCCTGCAGGGACTTAGACCTTGACCAAGTCCAAGACAAGTCGGACCAGGATCTTTCAACGCAGTCCAGGCAAGGCCTTATACTGAAATTCTCCGATCCTGAAGAGTCGCAAAGTCCAATGACGGCGTTACCGGTGGGCCTCCCGACCAACAATACTACGTAGTAGACAGGAATAAATTGCCTCCAAGGCCCGCAACAGCACTACCGTAGCCTTTCCGACTAGACCCTTTTGAGTCTTGAAGCAGCAGGGCAAGGCTGTCATTTTCCTATTCATCAGTTCGGAATT